AAATTTATCCTTGCATTGATACAACAAACTCCCAGCTAAGTGATATGTTTCCAAAAATGGAATCATACCAGGTCAGTGATAAAGGGGGTAAGGTTCTAAAGAAGCTCAAGTGCTGCGTTGGTGTGGGGGAGTATAACGAGGTAGTTTTGGTTTTATCAGCTGAGTTGATAATGTAAATTTGCCACTGTAAAGAGTTTCAAAGCTCACATTTCGAGTGTTAGCCCTTCGTCAGAGAGATTGGAGGAATTGTGGTTTGTGTGTGGGTTTATATGTACACCAGACGATAATTATCTGATATTACATTTGTCTCACTCGCAAAAATTAAATCAGGGGAAACGTAAAGCAAGTCAAGGCAGTAGTCTCAACTGTGGGGAGCGTGGAGCCCCAGAGTGATCTGCAGCGACATCACCACATGTTTTTGTTCAATTTACTTAATTATTACTCTGTCTGCTTTGTTTCCCTCACATCTTTCTCTACTTTTGAGTATATATTCGTTCTACTTAATGGTTTTTTGCTTATGTGTTGACAAGTGCAAAGGATGGGCTGTAGCTTGGATTGCCATGGATACCTCCCTTGTTACTGAAGAGGTTGCTGCCCCCTTTGCTAACACTACCTGCCCTCTGATGCTAATGGCAAAGTGTTTTAACTTTTGTGTTGGAGATCTTTCATTGTACTTGCATGCTTGTATATTTGTAGTTCTAATACTGTTCTGTTCTGATACTTGTAGAGGCTTGGCATTGATAAAACAGACCCTAATGAGTTGACACCTGAGGAGATCTCAAAGTTTGCTCGGCTAAGCATCGACCCAGACACCATAACTTTTCAGCGAGGTAAGGCAATTGCAAATAAACTGTCATTTTGTAAACAGAAGAAGAAAGATGGTGATATGTTTTATTTGTTATTGTCAGCTGTCATTGTTTAGATACCTAAAAGAAAGGAAAAACTAAATACATTCAATTTGATATACATGATGTATACTTAGTTTGTAACAAGAACTATTCATAAAATCACCCAGATTTTCTGAAATGCCCAAGTAATTAGGAAAATAGATAGGGCTGGAGGATTTTGTGAAAACCAGGTTTCAGCCCAAACTCAGCTTTATATGGACTAAGGAGGGTTTCCTAGATGTCCAGGTCATGAGGGATCATTTCAATTGGTTTTCATAAAAGGCAGTTTTCAACTGAGTGTTGAAAAACCAAAACTCAAGTAATCACAGTGATCAATCAGAATAAAGGTTTTTTACGTACATAATCTTTGGCCAATGAGAGCTGTAAGTAAAAAGAAGGAAACTGCTTGAAGCGCTGAAAAACACATATGATTGAGTCACAATTTTTTTTGGCTGATTGGTTGAAAGGATGGTGCAAGTTTTCTGGACCAATCACAGAGCAAAAGTACAAATGGGTATTTCTTTTGACCCTCACGATAAAATGCTCTAGATAGTCATCCTGATTATACTTGTGCTTGAGCATCAATTGGAACATATTGTGAGTGAATTGGACAGAACTGCATCAAATACTGCTGCTGCAATTAAACTCTTCTAAGAACAAGGGCATAGCCAGGGGGGTCCTGTGGTGCCTGTGACCCCCCCCCCCCTTGGTAGGCCTTCTTTTGAGCAAACAACCTACAATATTCAGGTGGTCAAAATGCCATGTCAATATCTTGGCCTGCCCATTTTACTCTCATTGCTCATCCCAAAACTGTAACATTCAGTAAAACATGCACGGCCTGGAGGTCGACATGGCAATCTGGTGAGTAGCCTCTGTGACCCCCCCTTTGAAAAATCCTGGCTATGCCCCTGAAGATTGTTTACAAATGTGCCTGTTGGTTGTTAAGACAAATTGTCCTCCTACAGTGATTGACACAAATGACAGGTTTCTCAGAAAGATTACCATTGGTCAGTCAGCTACAGAGAAGAACTTCACACGTCAGGTATTGTTATCTAACGTGATATCTCATGTGTGATATTTGTGTTATCATCTGGGGCTGTTTCTTTTACAAAATTTTCTCGTCCATGTGGTACCAATTTTTGTAGACTCAGTTTGACATTACTGTTGCAAGTGAGATTATGGCCATCTTGGCGCTGACCACTGATCTGAGCGATATGAGGAAAAGGTATGATGATGATCCTCTATGTTTTGTTTTTTAATTTTCATTAACTCTTTAAACCCAACATCAGTGTGCATATTCTCCATACTGTTCTCTATACAATCCTAAGGTGCTGGCAAGGAGAATTTGTATGATGATTGTGAGCTTCTTTATTTGGTGATCATTTCCTTTATTCTCGTGACCTTGCTGTTCGATTCAAGGGTGATATTGTAAGGAGAAATTAGATGCTGGTCACTCTTGAGGGTGAAAGGATTAAAGAAACATGGGAGTATGGCTTATTTGAGTCAAATTTCACAAGTTGCTGCTTGTGTTTCTTTTGCCAGCAATCTCATATAGAAATTGTTGCATGATTTAATGCTTAGAAAAACAGGAAAACAGGAGGTGACGAGTGAGCACCGAAAAATAATTTAATGAACAATGGTCGCCATCTTACACCGAACACATGGTAGAACTAAGGCCGCAAAGTGTCATTGTTGATCACATACATGTAGGCATGCAATGCGGGCATACTTGTAGTCTCACTAATACATCAACAGAAATCATGTGATAACATACCACTCTCTTCTGATGTCATATTTTCTTAAACGTGTACCTTAGTTAAACTTGTCTGCACTTCTTGCAAACATTATTTTGTACAACCATGCTTTGACTGAATAGGTTTTCTATCTTCAACACAGGCTTGGTAGCATTGTTGTGGCTAGTAACAAGATTGGGGAACCTGTGACAGCAGATGATCTGGTAAGTATAATTTTGTCATCAGAACCACAGTTGGCCCAGGTAGTTTGTATTCCTTCAGTATGATCAAACTGATGAGGTGGCCACAAACCATATCTGATCTAATGGAAAGCCCTTCTTTAGCTTTAAGTTTATAAGAGGCCCCCCTTCCCATATGTCCTATATTGGAGCCTTGTTCTTCAGTAAACCCCCTTCCTGTTGGGCAACAGTGCTAGATATCTGTTAGTTTCCTTTCCATTGGGTCTTTAATTAAAGAAATGCATGTTATATGGATATGTTTTTCAGTAACGAAAATGAAATTGGAAAATGGAATTTAAATAGTCCCTCGGTAGGTTCATTAGGTTAAAATCTTTCTAGAGAACCTTTCAACTGCCTGTGCTAAAGAAGATGTTTTTCTGGCATATGTGCGAAGCTGTTGAACCTCTCCACTCAGACTGATTTTTTTCCCTCCGCTATTCTAGGGAGTTGGTGGAGCACTGACTGTTCTTATGAAAGATACAATCAAACCAAACCTGATGCAGACATTGGAGGTAAAAATAATCGTAATAATCCGAATGTTTATCCAGTTATCCCTTCAATACAGAAGTATTGTTAGTGGGGTCCTTTTGATTAAGAATTAAAAACTAAGAAAAATGAAATTATTAAAATATATATAAGATAGAACACATGCACCAAAAAGACAGTAGTAAGCTAAAAACTGCAAAAACTGCGATTGAAATCACATGTAATAATTGTCCAGGGCTTTCCTAAATAAAACTCTGGTTGGAGAGTTAATGTTCCCTAAACATCAAGGCAATGAGTTAAATTGAGGTACCTGGAAAAAAAAAAAAAACTATCATAATGGTGCTCTAAAGCCAATTTGACGCTCGGTAGCTTTGTTGTTTTTCCATTGTTTCTAGTGTTTAGCGCATTATGATGTATGAGGTAAAATCTCTGTAGACTACAAGCAATATTCAGAAAAAAGGTGAAAACTGATTATTTGGGAAGAAAGGGTTTAGATCTCGCATGGCACAGTTTGCATGAAGTGCCTGTAGCTGTGTGCTTGTTGTCTAAGATTTCTCTGAAATTGAGATAAATGAAAAGACAGGCCTAAAACAAAGCTGTGCAACAACCAAACCACCAATTTTAGTCTCACTATGGTACAATGATAATTGTACCTTTGCTGAATTTGAGTGTAGCAATTTATAGTGGTAGAATGTTTTTCTTACTGTGTTATTGGACTATTGGGAATTAGCGCTCTATAAATACTGTATATAAATACTGTCTATAGATACTGTCTTGTTATCATTTCTTTTTTTCAGGGCACTCCTGTCTTTGTGCATGCCGGGCCCTTTGCAAACATTGCTCATGGAAATTCATCCATTCTAGCTGACAGAATTGCTTTGAAGTTGGTTGGACCAAATGGATTTGTTTGTTAGTAATTAAATAGTGTTGATGATGTTTATTTGTGTAGCAATTAACTCCCATAATGTGAGGATTGTTTAACAAAATTGTGCAAAAATCTTTCCATGTAATTTTCTTCTTTCTTATTGTAGTCACAGAGAGTGGTTTTGGTGCAGACATTGGCATGGAGAAATTCTTTAACATCAAATGCAGATATAGTGGTAAGGTCTAAAATTTACAAAAACTTTTATATGTTATTTTTAAGGATGCCCGGGTCAGTAGGAGAAGAAGAAACTGTACCAGAGGTCTTGAGTATGGCCTAAAGCTGAAGACTTAGGGTGATACTTGAAATTAAGGGCATGGTTTTTCCCATATAAACCAATTTAGGCTGGTAAATAGCATAATATACTTTTTTTATCATAATATACTTTGTTTATCATGGTTTGCTTTTTTTCCACCTTTGTTTGAATGGTATAGAAACAATTCCAAACCAAGGTTGATTGGTTTTGAGAGCATGATTAGCCAATCAGATTTGAGGAGTTACAATGCTGGTCCACTGAGATGCTTCAGAAAAAACTTAACTAATCTCTAATCCTACCAGACTACGGTTACAATTCTAATTTTGTGTTAGAGGGCATTTTGTTTAAAAGTCACAGAAAAAAAACTCCAGTGATCATTGTAGCAAATCAGAACACAGAGAAGATTCACAAGGAACCAAAAGAGTAAAAATGGTTTTTACATTGGCTTGTGATTAATTTGGACATTGGCGCTGGTTTTTTAGACTAATAATGGAGAAAAGTAAAGCAAAACTGAATGCTGTCCCTGATCACTTCAGTCACTTGATTTGAATTGTCTCTATTTTCATGCCACGCCACCCATGCAGTCCTTGAGATAATTATTACCCATTTAACTCCCGGAAGTGGTTAATGTGTAACTTCTCTCTAAAATATCCATACATTCTCCAACAAACAGGTGATTGGAATACTCAAACTTATCAGGTAGAAGTTGTTATCTTGATCTACCAACAAATTCTTGTAACTTATTTACAAGGAAATGTGTAGCAGTTTGAGGGGAGAATTAGCAGTCAGATATTGGAAGTTAAAGGGTTAATAATATTATTCTGAATTTTATATTTTCCAGGTCTAACTCCCCACTGTGCCATCATTGTTGGAACTGTCAGGGCTCTGAAGATGCACGGTGGAGGACCAAAGGTGAGTGAATTCCTAAGGCAAAGTGAAATGTTAGAGTTGTGATTACCCTTCATCAGTTTTTGCTTCCCTTTCCCCACTTCAGGGTAGCACCTTGTTGTGTGACCCAAATGAAGTGCTGGCCAAGTCAGAGAATGAGCTATGCTCTTAAAAATCAGTCCTATTTTTGTTAGTCCTTAAACTGCAGTTTTTCTCTCTTTGTAACAGTTACGGAGTGTACTGTCTGACTTTTTTCTCTTTATTCCAAAGGTCGTAGCAGGGAAACCTCTCCCTTCCGAGTACACCACTGAGGTAAGTCTTATTAACTCACCACACCCTAACTTCAGTGTCCATTTTCTCCATTCTCTTCTTTGAACATTTCCTTTAATATTAACAAGGAGAATTTGTTTAACAATCAAAGTTTCTTAGGTTGTTGGTCATTCCCTTTATTCTTGTGAACTCAATGAATGATTCAGCTGTAGTACTGTTAGGAGAGAATAGATGTTGGTCATTCGTAGAGGGGTACACAGATTTTAAAGTGGGGGCTGTTCTGAGTGCCTCTCCACTCATGCTCTAGTTAAGACCTAAATAAGAGAAATTCCACCCTGGGATTTTGTCAGAGTAGCATTTGTCTGATACGTGTAGGTTGTAATTGGGTTAATTAGTCTGCTCTCAGCCTTACTCACCTCTTAAACTTTGTTCCTCGAATACTCTTGCTCATGCTTTGAATCAGATACTGCTCTAATGTTGAATAATACAACAGACCCTGCTAAAATTAGAGCTGTTTTAATTTTTTGGAACTGAACTAATTCAAGTTGAGGGACGTTGTATCAAGCTTTCAAAATTTCTATTCTAGCCATTGGCAGTTTCTATTATAATTGCAGGATTTGCTGATGTTGTAATTTCACATTTTTTCTAAACAGAACTTTGATCTTGTCAAGAGTGGAATGGTGAACCTTGCCAAACAAATTGAGAATGCACGATTTTTTGGAGTCCATGCAATTGTGGCTGTGAACAGATTCCCGTAAGTAGTGTCAAGGTCCCAGTACAAAAGCAAGTTTTGCTGTCCTCAGGGGCATTAAAGTTTTCAGACTTCTTAGAGTTGTACTTAATCATGATTGTTTTGTCAGGAGTGACACTGATGCAGAGATTTCCTTGGTCATACAGCTTGCCAAGGAGGCAGGAGCTTATGATGCTGTAGGGTGCACTCACTGAGCAGATGGAGGTATCAACATAAACCCTTTACACCCTAATGTCCTTAGTCATATTCTCCATACTGTTCCTTATTTCCTAAGGTGCTGACAAGGAGAATTTGCTTAACAATCAAGAGCTTCTCCAGTTAGTGATCATTGCCTTTATTCTTGTGACCTTAGTGTGTGATTCAGGGGTGATATTGTAAGGAGAAAGTATAGCTGCTAGTCAATCTTTAGGGTTAAAGATTTAAAGTTATTTCTAGATATATATTTTTAATTTGGTCAAATGTGTTGGGAGAATTAAAATATTTTGACATTTTTCTGGGAATGTTGGGAAATGTTTCTTGCTTGCTTGCTTTCATGCATCCCATTGACGAGTGTTTTGTGCTAAATGAAGCTGTTGATCTGTAGGTAAGGGTGCCATGTGTTTGGCTGAGGCAGTTCTGAGAGCAGTTGAGGAACCTGTTGACTTCAAGTTCCTGTATGACTTGCAGGTATGTAAGCTATGCAGATTTCAGCTACACCATTTTCCCTTTTAAAAATCAGTTATTGTTTGCCAAAAAAGCATTCATGAATTGCATATCTGTGATCATCAATCTGCGAATAATCAGCATATAACTGACCCTTTACAAGTGAACTTGCCACTGAAAAAAATTGCAGAAAGAAATTTAATCCTTAGTTGAAAATGAAGGCTTTGATAAGGCCTGAAACCATGTCTACTACAGTAGATATAGCCACATGTTGGTAGTGAGTCCAATCTTGTTGGGGTTTTGCCTTGTGTATAAGTAATTTTAAGTAAGGATAAGTAAATAAGTAAGTAGCCTTTATTAATGTAACCTTTATTCATGTAATTCTGTAGTTGCCGATTGAAGATAAAATGAGAATAATTGCCCAGAAGATTTATGGCGCAGATGACATTGAGTTGTTGCGTGAAGCTCAGAAGAAGGTGGAACGCTACAAAAAGCAGGTGATATTTTGATCTGTCTGTTGTTCTAGAAAATGCAACATATATTTTTGGGAAGTAAATGTATCTTACCATTTCTCCATAAGGAAATGTAGACTATACAGGCAGCCTAATTATGTTTTCCCTGAAATGGAGCAACCCCAGTGGTTGTTGGGTGGAGCTTAATGGTGCCGGAATTTGCTCTTTGAATGGGGAAAGGAGCATGTTTGGATGTTTTGGGTTCATTTTTTGAGTTCATCTTAAAAAAATTGACACTGAATAGGGATAAAACTTTAGCCTTTTAACTCCCAAGATCTGATTCTTGATTCTCTCCTATAGTTGCTGCTCATTTCTTTATAAACTATGGGTAGTTAAGAGAATTTGGTCGTAGATCAAGATTCATCTACCTAATAAGTTTAAGTATTCTCATTACCTGTTTGCTGGATAATGTATGGATATTATAGGGAGAAGTTACATGTTAATCACTTCTGGGAGTTAAAGGGTTAATATAATTGTTTCTTTAGGCTAGAAAAGCATCACAGAACTGACAATGAATTTTAAAAATGAGGATGATCAAGGATGCAAAAGAGTTAGCTGGATTCCTTGACCAACTTTAACACTATCCTGCCTTTGTATCTAGGAAATTGCTCTTTGAATTAATTGACAGAGTCGCTTGTGAAACCCCTTTTCTAAATTGTACACAGGTGATAACTTTGTTGTCCTTTGGTTGATTATTATTATATTGTTTTTTTTACAGGGCTTTAATGACTTGCCAATATGCATGGCCAAGACTCACTTGTCACTCTCTCATGAACCCGAGTTGAAAGGATGTCCCAAAGGTGTGTAAAATTCCAAATGTCTCGCACTTCTGGTATACCTGACTTCAGGCTGCTTTAGGCTGTTAGCTTACCTTGGGATATCTGCATAAGATGCATTAGGTTAGGATTAGAGTTAGGGTTAATCCCCGGCCAGCTTTGTTGCCAGTATCTGTCCTCTTGTAACCCATCCAAGATGTCTCTTTTTCCTCCCCTATTGATGGAGAGGGGTGGAGGGGTGAGGAGGAAGAGAGAGATAGTCTGCTCCTATTGGGCCATTAGAGGGAAGTGACCATAAGAATTTTTACTCTTGCTGTACTGAACACTTCTCCTTTACAGGCTACCACAGGGGTATGATAAGTTTTCCAG